CGGTACAGGAACAGCAATCACAGCAATCAAGAGCGTATGTCCCAACAATCGTGAAAGCAGTGAATAAAATGATGAAACTTCCGAGTCATTAAACACCGAGGCTTGTGTGCAGCATGTCTCGGTTCTGCAAGTCTAAGTTTCAGCGACAAGGCTTATTGGACTCAGACTGCCCAATACATCACCAGTCGATCATGTTCTCGACTTGACTGTCACCATGCATGCATGCAGTCTCACAGCCAACGCTGCAGCAGCAGCAGCCCAGGGCTCACCGCCGGGTTGCATCTTCACGATTGACCATTTAAGACTGTGATTGCTTCAGATGCATCTTAGCTTGACCGATGAGCTCGATCGTTTGCGAGGGGGGGCGCGTGACATCGCGACGTGGCTTCACAGTCTGCCCAAGCCCGCCGTGCTAGCTTATTTACACCAGTCTCGAGTCTATTTCGTCGCCATGGGACTTTGTGCAGACAATCGTGAATGCTGCACGTGTCAGACTCATCACAACGTCTTCTCTACAGCGCGTCTCATGAGTCTTCTCGCGTGCCAGTCGGAACAAACACTCATAGGCCTTTGATCAACACGCGACTCGAGTGGACCTCATCTGACTGGAAAGGGATGTATGTATGTGATGCTTGCTCCTACATGCAGCACTCGTGACTGCCATGGTGCTCGTGACTACTGTAATTGCTCTTCATCATTCACATCTGACCCGCATCGTGCACGCACTCATCGAGGATGTTGTGCCTTTATCGAGCACACACGCCTCGACGTAGGCCAGGTCATGATCAAGCGCTCGATCAATCCAGTGCGAATCGATGTGCAATCTCCACGCTCCCGGCTCCATAGTCACATTCACCCCGAACGACATCGAAATATGCACATGCACTCATGAGCAAATTTCTGTTGGCCGCTCCTGGCCTGCTCGATATTCGCGCTACGATGCTGAAAGGGAGCGACATTCGCCATACGCATCGTCTCGACGTGACTGAACGATAGAGGGTGCGGCGAGTGCGGATGCGCTCAGCGGCGGGCCGTCTCACAGACCTCATCCTCAGTAGGAGGCGCAAAGACGCACAGATTCACAGGCTCAAGTTCGTACGGAGATGCCGCCAACACCAACACGCTCAAGGGCAGCGATTGTCCAAAGGAAATCCATGAGATTGGCAAAGCTTTGTGCAGGCGGTGCAACTTTTTCTCTATGCTTTTTATTGCCCACATCGATACGTCGAGACGAGAATGCTAGTGCTCAAAACCTTGTCGCTTGTTAATTGCACTCGTGGTGCGCCTAAATGGGCATGCTTTGAACTGGCCACCTTACTGATTCACTCGCTCGCGACGACGTCTACGAGGAGCGTCTTGCTCGAGCGATCGAGATCGCTGGTCTCTCCGGTCGTCTTCACGAGATCTCTCCCTTTTGCTTGTGCGACGTTCATCCGCCTCACCAGATCCGCGTCGATCCTTGGAATGGTGGCGTGTGTCACGACGCTCCGATCTGTAGATGTATCTGTCTTCCTCCTCACCCTTGTCGCACACCCTCTCTCGCTCTCTAGAAGCACGCTTATCAACCGTCCCCTTGCTCTCGCCCAACTTCGTATCTTCTTTTCCGGGACTTCTACAGCGAGTCTTGGAGGGGCGTTGCTCGTATATTGGCCGTTCGGCGGAGGCGCGCTTATTGCTTTCGATTCCCACACGGTCTCCATAGAGCTTGCCTGCGAAAAACCTCTCCGCCGCTGGACTTTGCTGCTCGCCATGCTCCTTCAACTTCTGTGGCCGCTCATCCGCATTCTGGATTCTCAGTTCGTTCGGCAAAGCATCTAGCTCCGGCTTGATTTCATGCTTAGGCACAGCTGAATCGCCAGCGGCACCGTCAGAGGCAGATAAGTCCACGTCGGCATCTTTGCGTCGCAGTGGTCGATCAGGATTACTACAGCTTTGCGCTCGGATGACTCGCTGCAACTTGCACTTCTCCCACTCAAGCTCCGCCATCAGCTCTTGTCTCTGCATATCGCACAGATGCTACTGTAGTCAGGTCCTCCAAACGGCAGACGCTCCTTCTTTCGCTCGCTCGCTCACTCGCTCACCTCGCGCTCCAATTTCAACGTGTTGACTTCTTGACGGAGCTTTCCATTCGTCGCTCTCATGCTGCGTTCTTCCGCAGACTCCATCTCCACCAGCTGTCCGATCAGGTAATTAGAGGCACTCTCGTTCCGTGACGATGTGTGAACTGCTGCCGCTGCAGGTGTGACAGAAGCGGTGATCGGCAAGTCGCGCGAACATGCTTTTCCGGAAAGCCCTACCGTCGTCGTTTGATAGTGTCGCAGGTCTCCGTCCACAGGCGTCGGATAGCGATGCCTGCTTTGAGCGAGAGAGCTATGGTGCATGCTCATGGATGGCGGCGCTGCAGCGCGGGGCTGCTTGGGAGCTGCCGCTTGCATGGCATTCGTCCAGGCTGATGGCGCGGCTGGAATAACGGTCCCGTCTCGTGTGTCGAAAGCAGTCTCATTTCTTATCGATGGAACCCTTTGCGCTTGTGGCTGCGCCGAAGAATTCACCCGACTCGCCTTTGCGTGTCTACTTTTGTCATGACCAGATGATGGGCCAGCTGGACGAGGGATTCCAAAAGGTACAGATGCCTGATCGCTGCTTGGCCATGATGGTTTACCAGCCCTTGTTGGAGACTCAATGGGCACCGGACTGGGCATCCAGGCCTTCGAAGGCGTGACTGTTGAGCGGTTGTACTGCAAAACGAAACCGATGGGCAGCATGGGGAGTCCAAGAGCATCCTGCGGGGTCAAGATGAGTCTGATCGATCCTTGCTGGCTGTGCAAGCGCATAGTGTCGGTGCCAAACGTATCGCAATTCAGCAAATGTTTTCTGGGCCGGATGCATGTGAGGTACTCTTGTTCTAGACAAGCGTCGAATTTGATCGCGTCTATTTTTGGCTCTGCCTTGAGCAAGTCGTGAAGCCAAAATTTGACCATGAGCGACTCTACTCCAGCAACATCCAGCGTGCAAACGACGATGCCCGTCTTTTTGCGTCTCGATTCGCAGCATTGCATCAAAGCTCGGTCTTGCTCCAGCATGCGGCGCCATTGCATGCGTCCAGCTGACTCGTTGGCATCTTCAAGCAGCCTAGCGGACCACTTGTCCCCCTGACCCGCGCCAAATCTCTTGACAGCAGCCTGGGCCGATTCGAGACGCTCAAAGTATACGTGGCAATATGGCGAAGGGTCCAGAGGTGAGGCGGGTCGAGCAAAAGCTAGCGTGGCAATGCTGCCGAATTGGCAAAAGACGTTTATGATGGAGTGCTTGTTCCAGTGCATCCGCGGGCCCGTTATGCGCACACCTGCCAGATCGTCGCCATCCTTGTCGAGCACACGCTGAGGCGTCTCTGGACAGAATGCTGCTTGTGCGGCTCGCTGCTCTCGTATACGCTCGGCTTGTTTGGTCGGTTGCCACTTGACCGGACATGCGCGCACTGCGACGTCTGCAGAGTGGAGACTTGCTAGCGTGAGGCTGCGCAATTGCAAGAGAAGGACTCCGCTCTGTCCAGACGAAGCCCGAGACTCGCACTCACACGGCTCGTACTCTGGCATGCTGCACCGACTTGTGCAGATGTGGCAGCGTACGCGAGATGGTCGTGAGTGGCTTGAAAGGACCAGAGCTGAATCAAGCCTGTCCCAAATCCACGACGGCGCTTGGAATTGCAGTTCCGTCGAGTGCCGCACAAGTGTATGCGGACAGGGGACCACTCGGCTGGGCTCGTGCGCGTGATCGCTCGGACACGCAAAGGTACGATTATCGCGAAGACCCGCTTTGACTGCGTCGATGAAGCTATGATAGAAGCATTGCCCACCAGCTCTTGATGCTGCGAGGCGAAATGTCTTTGACAGAAAGTCGCATTCGCACTGAGCCAAGTGTGTATGCAGTCAAGGTGACCAACTCGTGACTCGGCAGATATGAATTTGCAGCGCTGATTTCTGGAGGCATCTCCTTCTTGCTGACATTCGTGACTCCACGACGTGTCAGAACATTCAACTCTTGACTCTAATTCGTGACCTGAACGAGCAGCGAAGTGTCGATGGGCTCATCGCCTGGCTCAGCGCGAGCTTTGTGCCGCTGCCTTGATTATACGACACCGTACCTGCATCGACTGGACCGCTGCGCCTCTGTGTTCGCGATGTTGACGATTTAGTGATTCGATGCAAGGCAGCCCGCTCGAAGCATCCAGTCGGGCAAGTGCTCAGCCAGGCCGCTTCAAGTTGCAAGTGTGCGTCGAAAGTGCACAGTCGTGAGTGTTGTTTAGAGAGCTTAGACAGCAAGGAATATTATTCGTGATTGTGATTGAATCAAGCACTTTGCATGCGTGCAGCATCCTCTGCTCGAGCGCAGCTAGGCTCAAGCAAGTAAGCGCTCCCCAATTTGGCCCTTTGGTATTTCGTGCGCGGAATCCAGTTGAGTCTGAGTCCTTGAATCTTGAATCGTCAATTTCCATATGCTTGCTCTGTGTGCGTGCGGTGGTGCGCAGCAATCAAGAATGCTGGGTCTGTCTAGATGCACAGCATCAGATTCAAAGGCCAGGCCGCTGTCATCAATGTGAATAACGCTGCTCGTTCAAACCACCAACATTGGCGAATCAAGAACGAGAATGGTCAATCACGAATTCAATTCAATTCGGATGTATGCAGCGTGCGCGGCGTCTTACAATCTTGAATGTGAATTCGTGATTGTCGGTGCTGTGCACGGAGTCTCTCACAGGCTCGCGGCCGCGGGCGCGCACACGGAAGGAAGCCTTGCTGACAGCACGGGGTGGGATGGGATGTGCGCGCAGACGCTTTGGGGCATGCATGCATGCAGGCAGCAGCAGCATTCACATTCATCAGATCGACTTCGATCAATTAAACGCGCCGCGTCTCCCGGCGCCACACTCGTTCACTCTACTCTTCTGTATACCGATTTGGTCTCATCTTGATGCATCCCGCGGTGCGTCGATCGAGTGATCATTTGTATGTCGTGAGTCGTGCTCGATCGAGTTGCGAGTGATGTGCACTGACGCGATTCGCGATTGGAGATGCGCTTGCCGCGGCTATATAGGCGGTCACCAGCTTGACTGGCTCGCGATAACGTACGCACACTCATCCGTGCTCGTGCAGCCACGAGTGTGAGTTGTGATTTTGCATCGCGACTCCAAGAATTACTCTTCAGACGCAAGACTGCAATCAAGAATCAGCCAGTTTGGTCGGCAAAGATGGCACGGCACCTAACGCTCACGGCTGCGTCCCATGTTGAAAGCACCGTCGCCTTCGCCGTCGCCGTCGCCGTGGCCGTGTATGCAGGGTGCTTCGATGAGGACCTTGATCGATATAGAGTACGCGACGCGCGACTATCGGTGCATAGCAAGACTCTTTCAGAACAGACGCTCAGACTGCATGGTCATCCTTCAGAACGGGTATGCTGGTCCTTGCGGCGCTACCGTATGCAGTATGCAGAGGCAAGCTTCAATGAGGCGTACGTAGACACCATTGTGTATTTTGGAAGCAGCATCACGCTCCCTACGCCCAGTTCAAGATTTCGATTATGAGCTGCGTGCGAGTTGCGAGTCTTGAGTGTCGCGTGTGGCGTGGAGTATGGCATCGCGTCGAGTGCATTAGCAAGCAGTCTCTGGTCGGGGAAAGATTGGGAATCGTTGCGTATGTACAAGGCTGGCCTGAAGCAGGTGATCAGGTCGAGCTTGTGTATAAAGGAACCTATGATTGTTGTGTCGGCGCCGCAGGAGAAACATCCGTCTCAGCAGTCTGAGTTGGGGCAATATTGCAGCTCGTCGCTTGCTTCACCACGCTGGCAGCTTCAGCATTCTGTTCGTCGGCCGGCTTGACAACGGACATGGGTTCCTGCGCCTTGTAAGCTGGCAACTGTTCCGAATCCTTTGTGCCTTTGCGACCGGCCACATCTCTTCGCACCCGACCCGCTTCTTGATCTTCCCTATCGTACTCTCCCGCATCCCAGCAGCAATTGCAGCGACAGCACGCATCGCACGCCGTGCAATTCGCTCCGCAAGCGTCTGAATAGAAGATTGCAAGAGTGTGAGCGCGCGCTCTTCCTCTCTCTCTCTCTCCATCGGCCAGAAGTTCTTCTGCGTTGCTCAATCGTTCGGAATGAAGCGAAGCGGTTGGATGACTTACGCAGACTGAACCAGTAGTAAATGCTGCTGCAGATGATTGCGCACTGTGCGCCATGAGTCGAAGCGGGAGGAGGTGGGCTACGCTCGCGTGAGCAGCCTGTCCACCCGCACTCTTCGAATTCGCTCCGCCTTTTCCCGCGTTTGCGAGCTGCAACTCACGCAACCTCCACCAATATCTGCTGCGGCGACGTCTCCCATTGTAATCGTGCGTCTCGAGTCTCCTTGAGAGAAGTCGTGAGCCAAAGAAAACTGTTCGATTGCAGACCGGATGCTGGTGGAAAGAATGTATGAGGAGTGTGAAGTTGAAAGCCTTGGAGCGTGGATGAACGAACGTCTTGCGCTGCGGGGTGTATGAGCTTGGTTTTGCAAAAAGCGTGCGAGGGCCAAAGATGTGCGCTTTAAATGTTCCGATGTCAGTCACAATCAAGTAGATTCATTCACATTCCATCGGAGTCTGAGTAGCTAGGCCATGGATGCAGGCCCTACCCGATCGAAGGCTCCTATGCTGCCCGCGTACCAGGCAGGCAAAGCAAGAGAAGGAGGCAAAAGATCGGCACGGACAAAAGTTAGCGTGTATATAGAGCAGCAGCAGGTAGCACAGCCTCGAAGAAGTGGACGCTAGATAGAAACGTTATGCGCTCGTTCGCTCGTCATGTCATGCGACGCAAGACCATTCTAATTCTAATTTAGATTTCATTTGATTCAAGATTTGGACTCGTGACTTGTTCCTTTCGACTGCAGCCCGCGCCCGCGACCGTGTCTCGCTGATCTGGCCACAGCGAATGGGCGCATCGCATCACGCATGAAAGCTTGGCACGGCTGCTGCTTCTTAGCGCCATGCTGCTCGACACCGCCATACCGCACACACGCTCACACGCAGGCACACACGTAACACGCGTTCGACCGCTCGATCCCGACTCGTGACTAGTTTGCGATGCTCGCCCGTATATACCGCTATATACCTACCGTATATATATATACATACATAGCGCTACATAGCTCGATCGTGAATGTGGCGCTTATTCGGCTCTGTTGATTGACTCGTGCTGAACTAGTTCCTCAAGACCGGCATGCCGAGTGGCAATTAAGTCACCAGTGGTATGTATGCGTAGCTGGAGGCGACACTTACATGTTCATGACGGACTGTAGCTGCTGCTACCTAGCTTGAAAGCTATCGTCCGATGCTTCGACTCGCGACTATCATAAACTCAGCAAACCTGCTTCTTGACTTCTGAGTTTCAATCCGTTCAGATTCAGGCCGGGCGCATCCCTGTCTCACGCTCAACGCAATCAGCGGTCTTTGGTGGAACATTATTGATTATTCATTCAATCAGCTGGCTTCGGGCGTTGGAGCGCACATGTCACTGCACGTATACAACTGTATATTCACGATTGTATGTATGCAGTCACCCAGATAGAATTTGTTGAATTTTGAATGTCGGCGGATTTGATTGTCATGCACTCGTGACTCTTGACTGTTGACTCTGCGTGATTTTTGAGTAAGTGAATCTGCAAGGGTGATAGACGAGTCACGTGTGCTAGTAAAGAAGCGCGTCGAGCGCACGCGCGCCGCGCCATACGCGTGTCGCCGCGAGAGATCAACATGGCCGCCCGCCATGCACCCGCGCGCTTCACGATGGTAAAGCTTGCCAAGGAAACTCAGCAAGCTGAATCCTCGAGTGCCCCAAGCGGCATGAATACGGCTGAACGAAATGGCGACCAAGCGGTAGCGAGACCTGCTACCACCATCGCGACCCTTATCACATAACATCGACGAGTCACGCTTGTCACGACATCATGCCGCCTCGTCGAGCTGCGACGGCAAAAGCGAGCGAGAGCAGCTCGAAGACGACGAGAGCACGACCTCCTGCTAGAGCAGCTGCCACCACGACAAAAAGAACCACACGGGCGTCGATCGCATCAGCAGCCTCGAACGATGACGAGGACGAAGATGAGGAGGAGGAGGAGGAGGAGGAGGAGGCTGACGTGACTATTGTAAAGCCTCGCACTGCGCGTGCCCCTCGTGCGGCCACCTCTCGTCGACGGGCCGTCAAGGAGGAGAGCAGCGAGGAGGAGATGAACGACAGCGCGAAAGAGCAAAATGATGAAGAAGAGAGTGAGGAAGAGGAAATGGAAGAAGAGGAAGAAGTGGAGGAGACATCTCAAGCACCGCGGGCTAAGAAAGCTGCTACGGCGTTGAAGCCTAGCAGCGCTTCGACTCGCTCTGTTCCTACCGCTGCCAAGTCTAAGCCGCCCTCGCGCAATGTCAGCGGCGCTTCACAGCGCAGCAACACGAGCGCCACGCCAAGGACGCCTTCTGTTTCTCTGCCATCTGCGGATGTCGCTTCTGAAGGTCCGCGTACGCCGCTGCCCTCTCGGGCCTCAGGCACATTGTCTAATCTAGCTGAACCCAGCACAGCTGGCGCTCCTTCGATGCTAGCGCCCCTGATGGGCTCTCAAAGACCCAGCTCTGCAGGTCGAACGGCAAACGGAGGCGTACCACAGACCCCTCGCATCCCTTCGACTCCGCGCACAGGCCTGTCAGTGGCCGGCACACCATTCTCCATTCGACGTCCCTCGGCGCCTACAGCACCGGAAGCTCCGAAGACGCGTCTGACCATTCACAAGATGGTGCTAAAAGACTTTAAATCGTACGCTGGCACGCAAGTGATTGGTCCCTTTCACAAGAGCTTCTCGGCCGTCGTGGGTCCCAACGGATCGGGAAAGTCGAACGTCATCGATGCTCTGCTCTTTGTCTTTGGCTGGAGGGCCAACAAGATGAGACAGGGCAAGCTGTCTGAACTGATTCACTTGTCTGCTGGACGAGAGAACTTGCCAAGCTGCACCGTCGAGGTGTGGTTTAGAGAGATTGTCGATCTGCCTGGACCCAACGCATACAAAGTGGTGCCCGGCACCAAACTCGTCGTCGCTCGTACTGCCATGCGCAACAACCAGTCCATCTACTCGGTCGATGGCAAGAAGAGCAACTTTACGGAAGTAACTACCTTGCTGAGAGGCAGAGGCATCGATCTGGACCACAAGAGGTTCTTGATCTTGCAGGGCGAGGTCGAGAGCATTGCTCAGATGCCACCCAAAGCCAAAGGGGAGCACGACGAGGGACTGCTGGAGTATCTCGAGGATATCATTGGCACTAGCGAGTACAAGGGACCCATCGAGGAAGCTGCAAGGATGGTGGATGATGCCAATGAAGCCCGCAGCGAGCGCCTGGCCCGTCTCAAGATTGTGCAAAAGGAGAAAGACAACTTGGAGGTGAGTCAAACAATGCCTCGCGGATCCGTGGGCCACCTGCTGACACCTTCATACCGCCACCGCAGGCCAAGAAGCAAGAGGCGGAAGAGTTTTTGAGGAATCAAAACGAGCTGGTGCAGAGGCAATCGGCGCTTTGGCAAGTGTACATGCTCGAGTGTCGCGACCAGATCAAAGTGGCGAGCGCTGCCATCGAGAAGCTGGAAGCGCGTCGACAATCGGAAGAGGAAAAACATGCGGGCAGCAAAGCCGAGATTCAAGCATTGGAGACAGAGTACGAAGAGGTGCTGCGCGAATTTGAAGCGGTGGCGAAAGATACAGAAAGGGTGGTGAAGGAGCTTGCGCGTTTTGAGAGGGAAGACGTGCAGCTGCAAGAGAAGCGCAAGCACCTTGATGCCAAGAAGAAGAAGCTGAACAAGTCGCTCTCCGAGGTGAGCATGATGGTGCAGGGGTCGGTATGCCAGCCTGCTGACGCAAGCTTGACACGATTCTCAGGACAAGCACGTCATCTCCGAAGCTCGCGCTACGTCGAGCAACTCGGCAGAGGAGATTGAGACTGTTGGCGCCGAGCTCAGCAAGCTGGAACTTTCGCTCAGCAAGGAGGAAGCCGAACTGGACGACATCCGCGAAGGCCTCAAGGGCAAGACGGAAGGGTTCACCGCTGCGATCGAGAAGAAGCAGCGGGAGCTTCAGCCTTGGGCTGCCAAGATTAGCGAGCGTCAGAATGCGCACGACGTGGCTACGGAAGAACGTAATTTGCTCGAGGCACGCGCGCAACAGGCCACGAAAGAGGCAGATGCGGCCAGAGATGCCGTTCAGGAGATCGTGGCGGACAATGAAGCCAAGGTGAGGAGTTGTGAATGGTGGAACTTGGCTGGCAATTCGACTGACACGCTTCTTCACCAGAGCGAGGAGCTCAAAAGTCTGCGCAAAGAGCAAAAAGAGGCGCAGCAAAAGGTTGGCGCGTTCGAAGGCAAACTCGAGGTGAGCGCGCAGAGCACCTCGGGAACGACAGATGTGGGTTTCCGGCTAACGCGTCAAAGTAACCCTCATCAGCGCATGAATGTGGATGTCATCGAGGCTCGCGCGAGAGCTCGTGCCGCGCGCAGCAAGGCCGACGAAGCCAAGTCTTCAGCGACGTCAAATCGATCCAAGAGCGAAGTGCTGAAAGCTTTAACGCGACAGTCTGACCTGGGAATGCTCAAAGGTTTCCATGGGCGACTAGGCAGCCTAGGTACCATCGAGGAAAAGTACGACGTGGCTATCAGCACGGCTTGTCCTGGTCTGGATAACATGGTGGTAGATGGCGTAGAGACTGGTCAGATATGCATCGAGCACTTGAGGCGAAACAATTTGGGACGCGCAAACTTCATCCTCCTCAACAGTCTGGGCAAGGTCAACATGCAGCGCATCGCGACGCCCGAAGATGTGCCTCGCTTATTCGACTTGGTCAAGCCGAAGGAAGCGCGTTTTGCGGCGGCATTCTATCACCAGTTGAGAGACACGCTCGTTGCCAGGGATTTGGCTCATGCAAATCGCATCGCCTATGGAGCCCAACGCTGGCGCGTCGTGACACTCGATGGACAGTTGATCGACAAGAGCGGAACAATGTCGGGCGGCGGTGCACGAGTCGCCAAAGGAGGAATGAGCTCCAGATTGGAGGAAGGCGTCTCTCCCGAGCAGGTGGCCCGTCTCGAGCGAGAGAGCGAAGCGGCAGAGGCCTCGGTCCAAAATCTCGCGCAGTCTGCCAAGGATATGCAGAGCTTGCTCGACGGTCAAAAGAAGCGCTTGCCCTTGCTCGAGATGGACGTTGAAAAGGTGGCCATGGATGTCGAGGCGGGACGCAAGCGCGTGGAAGAAGCCGAACACCGCGTTGCTGAGCTCACGTCTGCAGCTGGATCTTCCAACGACGATGCCGATGCGAGTCGAATGGCCCAGCTAGACACTTCTCTCTCAAAGATCAGCAAGGATCTGGCCGGACTCAAGGAGAAAAAGAGCGTCATCGAATCCGACATTGCCGTACTACACGAAAAGATCCTGGAAGTTGGAGGGGTGCGCTTGCGCACGCAGAACGCAAAGGTGGACGGAATCAAGCAGATGATTGAACTGAGCAATGAGCGCATCACCAAGGCTGAGGTGACCAAAGCCAAGGCCGAAAAGGACATTGCCAAGCTGGAGAAGAGCAACGAGGCGAATGGTGAAGCGCTAGACGCTTTGCAGAGCGAGCTAGACGAGCTTTGTGCGGTGATCGATGGCAAGTCGAAAGAGGTTCGCGCTGTGCGAAGCAAGGTCGAGGAAGCGCAGCACGTCATGGAGACGAAGCAAGATGCAAAGGACGAGATCAAAGCTCAGCTCGAGGGCAGGTCCGACTCCATCAATGCTTTCCGAAAGCTCGAAGTGAGTAGCAGAATTGCTCATCAAAGCCGTGCTTGGTGCGCACGAATGGAAGCTGACGCTCGGCTCTTGCACTGCAGATGGAGATCAAGCAGAAGCTCGAAGATAATCATCACTCGGTCGCGGACAATACCAAGCGTCTGCAGCATTGGCATGACAAGCACGCTCAGCTACGTCTGCACCGCATCGAGAGCGATGAGGATGATGACGAAGACGAAGACGACTCGGAAAGCGAACAAGGAGCCGCTGTAGAAGATGCGGAGGCAGCGCGACCGGGTGCTAAGTCTAGCAAGCGCGTTCCAAATGCCAAGATTGCCAAGTCCAAGAGCTCCAAGTCGGACACACCCGACGATGAAGACGCTGCATCGGACGATAGCGTAGATGAAGAGCTTGTGCTGCAAGAATTTCCTCCTGACGAGCTGCGCGGCTTTGACAAGGAGAGCATCAAGGCAGAAATTATCATTTATGAAGGTGAGTGTGAATATATGCGCGGCACGACGTGGTCATGGTGCAATGTTGATGTCACTCGTCCTTGCCCGTAGAACAAGTACAAAAGGGTATTGGCAATCTGGCCGTATTGGAAGAGTACCGCAAACGCGAAGCCGACTTTGTTTCGCGCGCCAAGGACCTCGAGGAGACTACCAAGCAGCGCGACGTGGCCAAGCAAAAGCACGACGATCTGCGAAAGCAGCGACTGGAGCAATTCATGCTCGGCTTTAGCGTCATTTCGGCAAAGCTAAAGGAGATGTACCAGACGATTACGCTGGGAGGCAATGCGGAGCTGGAGCTCGTCGACAGTCTGGATCCGTTCAGCGAGGGTATCCTCTTTAGCGTGATGCCGCCCAAGAAGAGTTGGAAGAATATCAGCAATCTGTCAGGAGGCGAAAAGACGTTGAGTTCTCTTGCGCTCGTCTTTGCTCTGCATCATTTCAAGCCCACTCCTTTCTACGTGCTGGACGAGATCGACGCAGCGTTGGACTTTAGAAACGTGTCCGTCATTGCCAACATGATCGTCGCACGAACAGCAGGCGGTGCTCAATTCGTCGTGATCAGTCATCGAAATAATTTGTTCGAGCTTTCCAACAGGTTGGTGGGCGTCTTCAAAACGGGCAATCAGTCTAGATCTTTGGCTGTTCACAATACGGACCTGCACGCCCCTCAGCAGGTCGGTCCGGCTTCTCTGCCCGGCTCCAGTCCCGCTTCTGCTCGGATGAGCGCCACGCCGTCTCAAAGGGGTAGCAGCGCCAATCAGCAGAGAGGCGGCACGGGCAAGACGGGCACGCAGAGCGGACCGAGAGCTTCCAACGCCAGCACTCTTGTGCTCCCCACACCACTGGCCACGCGAAGGAATTGAGTCCTTCCATTTCCCCCATCTTCCCTTGCTTCCCGTCGGCTTCTCTGTAATGTACGCTTGACTGAAGTTTCCGATTCGACTTTTGTCAGATCTGCTCTCGTGACCCGCGCTGACGCGACCGTCACCCATTCGACGACTTTGGACCTATGCTTCGGCAGCCGATGTTGATTAGATTCTGCAGATTGTTCTGGGGCTTGCTTGACCCCCGTACATGTAAGTATGAGCGTGCGAAGAGGGAAGGAGATGCAGCGGCGTCCACTCGTGACATGTGCAAAGGACGCTCCTATGATGCTCTACGCTCCTTGGCCTCTCTCCTCAAAAGGCAATAGTCGCCGAATTTATTGGTTTCGTCGAACAATGTCTGCGGAAGGGGGATCCAAAAGGCTCTTTTCAAGATGGCGACGAGTTTTAGCATTTTGCTCGATCCTGGTACGGCATTGGAATGCTCAATGTCCAAAAAGGGATAGCAAGCTAGTGCGGTCCAATTTGGATCGTGGGTGTATCGAGGTTCGTATGTAGGTTCGTTGTTGGATAGATAGGCGCCACCTTTGTGGGCGTAGCGATGTGGGAAATCCACGTCGATGAGGTAGTTGCACGTATCGACTTCCACCTGGGTCGCAATCAGCAAGAACGAGTGGTTATCAGCGTTCCAAAGTGCTGAAAAGGTGGTCCCGAAAGAGAAAGAAGCACATGCAGACTCACATATCGATCCCGCTCCTCCTTGTTCAGATCATTGAAACCTCGACGTTCAGCCCTCGTAACATCCCTCCACGACCAAAGATCCAAAAGACTTTTTGCCCGTCCAGCTGCGCCATGCAGTGCACCTCGCTCAAAATGCTGCGGCAAGATGCCCTTAAAATCGCTCTTGACGAACCTCACCTCCACATGACTTGGCACGTGAAAATGCGAAGGGAACCTGTGCCATTCCTTTGCGTAGCACAATCTTGTTCCTCCCCTTTGCGCATCTAGCTCATTCTGCGCATCGGAGCATTCAGCATCAGCTTTGTTCAGATCCACTCTTGGCAGCTGCAAAGCTTGCGCATATCTTTCAATTTGTGACAAGCTTTCGAGCGACTTCCAAGCTTCTCGGGTTTGCGCGTCCACAATCGTAGGACAGCTCTGCACCGCCGATTGAGGAAGCTCGTAGTTGCTTAGGTACTCTAGCGTCTCGGTGGGTCCGCTAAAAGCGAGGACTGATTGAGCAGATCGAGAAATGCTGGTCAGAGCGCTGAGAGCTAGGATGGTGGTTGCGACGAGGGAGGGGAGCCGCGAGAGGGTTGGGTAGATCTGCTTGCTCGGAGACGGCGGGGAGATGGCAGGGATGTGAGCACTGCCCACCGCACGCGATCGGACAGCTAAAAGATGCTGGGCGAGATTGACTTGAAACAAAAGCTTTCGCTGTCACTTACATCGTCCGACCTGCCCGAGCCGATTTTCGAAGGTCCGAGCACTCCTTTCAACTTTCCCAGCACGACACGCAGCAGCTCGATGGATAGGTGCAGGCTCAAGGCGGCATTCAAAGCGAGCAGCGGGAATGCCGGAAAGATGAACCTCTCCTCCTTGTGCGGTTGCATGCTCATGAGCAGTAGCCAGAGATTGAAAGGTGCCGTTCTGAGCATTAGCAAAGCTAGCGGAGCGTTTGACAATGTGGTTTCTCGCTCGCTCATTTGCACCTTGGCAGCATTTGTCGCTGGCGAGCTGCTAGCCGCAAACATCGTCGGCACGACGAGTCTGCAAAGCAGCAACATTGGCCAGACGACAATGGCCAGCACCACGACCAGAGGATTCCAGAGCAAGCTCAAGTTCCTTAGGTAATACCACCAAGCTTCCGTCCCGTACAATTCCGGACCCGCACCTCTTTGCGCCGAAAAGATGTTGTAGATGATAATGTTGAGCGTTCCCAGTACCGGTCGACCGTACGCTGCCATGTCCACCAGGAACAGACCTGACACCAACGATAGACTTGCAAGCAGACCGGGCAAGGAGGCCAAGACTCGCGCGGAGGTAAAGAAGAGGTAGCGAGAGAGAGGCACGAGCTGACCGGACGGACAGAAGATCTCCTCGAGGACGAATGGGAAACTCAGCACGAGGGCAAACGGCCATCCCAGAACCGCGCCCGTGGCAAAGCTAAAGATGATCTTGAGATTTCGCTGACGCGTCTGGATGGTCTGAGGCAGAATGGCTGCATTCACAGCAAAGCCCTTTGCGCTCGTTGAAGGTTGCAGCGCGTAAGACATGGCCAAGGTGGTGGTGCACATTGCCAAGGTGGAAGGCAGTAGGGCTGCATGCGGCCGTCATTGTGGGGCCATGAGCTCGCTTTGCAACTCGAAGCTGTGGCGCTCTCGTCTCGCACAACTCACCCGTGCTGGCTTGGAACATGCCCGCGGAAGGAAGCAGAACGAATAGCATGTACTGCGCAACCCTAGGGTGAATGTTCTTTCCCACCGATCGAACCAGACAAGCTTCTGTAAAGCTGCAGACCCACGCCAAGAACATTCGGGTCGAGTACAGCGCATTGACCTGGGTCCGTGCGCATCAATCAGATCAAGTGGCGAGAGGGAATCGAAATCGAGTTCAACTCCTCATCTTTCACCAAATTCATTGCGCTCAGCTCACCTTCGGCCAACCCAACCACTGTGGAATCCAGGCAGCAGCGGGCAGATGCAGCGCAATGTAGCTCCAAGAGCGAAGAGCATATTGCGGTGCGTACTCCCACGTCTGAAAAGCTTGCAATGGTGCGCTTGAGATGGCGTCCTGAGAGTGCGAGACCCAAGAGAGCAGATGAAGGGGTTCCCAGTAGTTGTATGCTGCCGTAGGAATGCGCACCGGGCGTGTGCGAAAGAAGGATCAAATGGGACCATCAGCTCGAGCATGGGGTGACGGACCACAGACCACTTCTCATAGACAAGACAGAACAGCTTGCTCCGGACACTCTATCACCCCTCCAACTCACTCTCGTCGCAGTCTGCGATTCGTCGAAGAAAGGCGCTGATCACTCTGGGAAGGAGTAGGAGTTGAAAGATGGTCCAGAAAGAAGGCACATAGTTTGCGAGGCTGTGATGCTCGCGTGCAGCAGACGAATCGACGAGGAGCTGATTCGTGCGCTGTATGCGCTCGCTCGGGATTGGCGCACTCGACGAGCAAAACGCTGCGGAGGGTCGGGGTGCATCACTGTTGCGCTTCTTGGTCGAGATCATTGTTGCCTGAGCATTCGGCGGTGTGGTGCACACCTCGCTTGTTCTTGCCTTGCCTTTTGGCCACTTTGAGCTGGTGTGAGGCTCAGCTTAGCTTGGACGCGTAGCATAGACAGACCTGCCACGCGAGCGAGCGATTTTCTCCTGATCCTCAAGCTAATCGCAGCCCTTTTTGCCTGACTCAGACTGCCACTGCTTCTGTCCCACTGATGCTTTTGCAATCCCATCGAGCGACGCCTGGGAAAAGGTTGGTTGCCAAGGTGAGGAGCAGGAGCTGAAGCAGGACAGTCACGAGTCGTGAGTGCATGCGAGTCCCTGTTGCACCTCCCCCCTTCCACCAGCCGCACTCGTGACTCACACTGCATACTCGTGACTCGTGACTCGTGACTGACTGTAACCTCGGTCCCTGGAATTTACCATTCTTCCAATCACATTCATATTCAATGATTTACATTCAGATTCACGAATGAAGCAACAAGCAGCATGCAATCACGAATCAGAATGCTGCCCGCCACTCGTGACGCTTCTCTCGCACGAGATAGAGTCCCTCCCGTGGCGCGCTTGTGCTTGTGCTTGTGCTTGTGCTTGTGCTTGTGCGAGGTGAGTTTGCAATGCGCCCCCCGCCCGCCGCGCGATGTTGGTGGGAAGATGTTGCGCGTGATGATGCGGGTGCAGCTTGTGCTGTGTACCTGTACCGGCACCGCGTATGTATGCTGTCTGTGCCTTTTGAGCAGCAGCAGCAGCAGCAGCGACGGCGCGGCTTGGGGCTTCTGTCCGTCTTGAGCGCTCCTTTGCTTACCATCACCCTCCACTCTCCGCTCTCAGACGTGACTGGGTCGAAAGCGCGAATGGGCTTCAAGCAGTCAATGTCCATGCGCCTCCACGCTGCTCTACACAGCGCCGCATACTAGCCCCCCTGCCTCACCATCAACAGCCCATCACTTCTCCTCACACCCATTCCCCGCCCCGCCCCCCGCCCCTGCCCGCATCGCCCAACATGTCGGCCCTCTCCCTGCTCTGGCTAGCCATCAGGCACCCCTCCGAGCTCCGCAGTCTCGTGACGTACAAAGTCTGGCGCGATCCCTTGAACGACATCAAATCCTCTCCCGATTCGGGCTGGGAGCGTCAGACGATGAAGGACTGCTGGTCCTTGCTAGACGACACTTCTCGCTCTTTCGCCGCGGTGATCAAGGAGTTAAAAGGGGAATTGTGCAGGGTAATCTGCATCTTCTATTTGGTGCTGAGAGCGTTGGATACGATCGAGGATGATATGACCATCGCGCAGGACACAAAGGTTCCTATGCTCAGGCAATTCTACAAGAAGCTGCAGGTCAAGGGTTGGAACTTTGATGGCAATGGTCCGGACGAAAAGGACAGGCACCTCCTCGTTCAATTCGACAAGGTCATCGACGAATTTGCCAGACTCGATCAGCGGTGAGTGCGAGTGCGGGCGCGGGTGCGAGTCGAGGACGCACCGCATACACATGGCTCTTCCTGCTCATCCCGCAAGCACCGCATCCATATGGCCCTCCTGCTCATCCCGCTCCGCTTCCACCCTCTCGCAGCTATCAGATTGTCATTTCCGACATTTGCGCAAAGATGGGCGCAGGTATGGCCTCTTACATCCTCGCCACTTCCCAATCGCAGTTGGTGGTGCAAAAATGGTCAGACTACGACTTGTACTGTCACTTTGTGGCCGGATTGGTGGGAGAAGGTCTTTCGCGACTCTTTGGATCCAGCGGTATCGAGAGACCTTGGTTGGCCGATCAATTGAGCCTCTCCAACCACATGGGACTCTTCTTGCAAAAGACGAACATCATCCGCGATTATGCCGAGGATTGCGAGGATGGAAGGCATTTCTGGCCGGCGGAGTGTTACTCTGCCCATGGTTTTGCTGCTCAGCCCGACGTTGCCAAGGGAATCGTAGCCGCAGGGGGCGGTCACTTCAAAGCGCAAGGGGAGCTCGGGTCAAAGTCGATGGATGTGCTTTCGAGCATGTTGTTGGACGCGATGCAGCACGCCACAAAGTCTCTGGATTACCTCTCGCTGCTAAGGGAACAGTCCTGCTTCAACTTTTGCGCAATCCCTCAAGTCATGGCCATCGCCACCTTGGAGCTCATGTTTGCCAATCCGGACGTGTTCAAGCGCAACGTCAAGATTCGAAAATCCCAAGCGGTTCAATTGATCCTTCGAGCTGTGAACCCGCGCGATGTAGCGTACATCTTTTTGGAGCACGTGAAGCGCATCCGAGGCAGATTGTCCCCAGCCGACGTCAACTTTGTAGCATGGACCGTGGAGCTGGGAAGGATCGAAGTGTGGTGCGAGACGTATTATCCTTCGTTCATCGCGACTGGAGGAAGCTCGGGAGGGCCAGATGGACGAGCAGAAGGATTGCGACGATTTGCAGAGGAGCGAGCGACTCAAGCTAGAGTCAAGGCTAGAGCAGCGGGTCGAAAAGCGGTGGGATTGATCGATCCAAAAGGCTTGAACGTGGACGCCAGCAAGGCAAACCTCACAAAGGAAGAGAGGGAAGCGCAAGAGAAAAAGGACCGAGATGATACGGTCAAATTCTTCGTCATCATCTTGCTGGCCATGACGGTCTTTATGGCGCTCATCGCTCTCGGAGGCTGGCTCATTGCTTGGTACGTTACGCAAGATGAGACGGATCCTCTAACGAAGAACGCTATCGCCTACTACCGATTCGCCGGACAAAAGTTTGCGCAGTACTCCAGAGAGGCAAGAGTTGTTCTTGACGATGGTGTGACTGCTCTTCGCAAAAAGACGGAATTGTGATCCGCGCGGCCTGCCTCGCTCCTAACTTTTCCCCTCCCTGAACGACTTGTCCTCACACTGTTGCGTTGGAAATGATGCTCGTAGAGCTGCAGGAATTCTTTGATCACGCTCTTCACTTCAACGAGCAAGACTTGTCCTCACACTGTTGCGTTGGAAATGATGCTCGTAGAGCTGCAGGAATTCTTTGATCACGCTCTTCACTTCAACGAGCAAGCAAATGAGAAGAAAGAGAAATGCATTACTTTCTCTTTACGCATACGCAATGAGATTGGGGATTGGAGACGCATACGCAATGAGATTGGGGATTGGAGAGAGAGGGGGGGAGACGCACGCGCGCGTCCGAGAAGGGGACAAGCAAAGAGGAGATTCACCTTGTGTTGTCATGGAAGTGTCCCTATCAAGCTGCAGGCGCCACGGGCGCTGCGATGTTGACTTTACCCAGAGCTCGGCCGGTGGCCAGATACTTGATAGCTTCGCGCGCTTCGTTCCATGGGTAGGTCTTGTCCACCACGGGGCGTAATTGACCTGTTGGGGGGGGGGGGGGGGGGGGGG